AAACTTGCTGAGGGTGCATGCCATCCCATTCTCTGGGTCATTAATGAAGATGTTAAATGGAATTGGCCCCAGTATCGATCCCTGGTGCACACTGCTGGTGACTGGCCTCCAACAGGACTTCATTCTGCTGATCACAATCCAAGACCTTTAGCATCACACAATAGTCAATGTATGGCTGCTTATATATATTTAGCTGAAGCTTTATCACCACTCCTAATGCCACAATGTTGTTTAATTTTTCACAAGAAATAAACAGCTAATTTAAAATACTTTGAAACACTGTTAATCATACTTGAAGTATCTAATTACACACAATAATTTTGTAATGTTTTAAACATAACATATTTATGGAATAATTAATTTATTTGTGTGTAAGTAAATTTAATCATATTAATGCTATAAAGACAAATTAAAGCATCATATTTCTTCATTATATACATATCCAAACCCAGAACTGAAATAACCCCTAATGTAATTAGAAGTAAATGCAGCATTTTCCAAAAGGAATATTACCATCAGTAGTACATAATCTTGCCAAGTTATTATCATAGTCCCTAATTCTGAGCAAAGACATCATAAAATTCCAAGGGAACCGAGGGAAGAAAAAGATTAGAGAAAGCAGCTCTAGGAGACTAGTCTCATATACTTCAACAGAAGTTGTAATATATCAGAATGTCAGACTATCAGAATATATAAAGAACTCCTTTCTCTTCACAGATATGGGGAGCCATGAGTTTAGGCACGAGTTCTGTGTGAATGTCTCAGAGTGCACACAGCAAGGTGTAACAGGTTACCATGGGCGAAAGTGGTGGTTCCCCATCAGCTGGTCACTACACAGGTAGTAAAGAACAAAGGTAGAGACTTTATCCTTCATAACAGCAAATTCTGTCTCATGTCTGCGTAAGGGTTCTCTCCTTACATGTCCTGTCTGACAGCCAAAGCATAGGCTATCACATAAATTATATGTGAACCAGAGCTGTCTAACTTGAACGAGTCTAACGTTTAACTCAGAATGCATGTCTTAACTACCCCAGCTTACTGCCCTGATTCCTTGTCTAGAAAACAATTTTTGGCTCTGCATGAAAATTTTAAAATTCTTTCCACTGCAGTCACAAACTCCTCTGTCTACTGTGGGAATCAGCCCTTAGGATTTCCTACTGCAGTGCAGACAAAACTGCAAGTTGTTGAGCTTTGCAAATCATGGTTAGAAGCGTTGTTCAAGGAACCAGTTGCACTTCAACTCTGAGTGGGCGGAGTTGGAGAAAAGGGAAGGTGGAAAATGGTAGCTGGAAGTTGAATGGCACAGAAACGCTAATTGTGCATCCAGTATGGAAAAAACGTAATTGACATGTACCTACATACCGATTTTATACCTAGCTGCATGAGTTATCTGACACAAGGTCCAGGCTCAGGGACAGAACCATTCACTCATATTGGTGATGTAACAAAGCGGCTACAGGAACGCTGTAATGGGGGTAACCGGTAGGCTAGCTGGGTAGCTGATGGCTGCAGGATGTCCTCTGTGGAGGAGGCTCTGAGCTGCTCTGGGCCAGTCACAGCCAGCTTTGGTGGGCTCTGACACTGCTGTAAACACCCCATCTTGCACCAAAAGCAAGGCAGAGGAGCCCCCAGTGCCCTGATTCATACCTGTGTTGGAAAGAGCAGTGGTTACTGGAGGCATGAGAAAATGAAGGAGAAAACACCTCCAGAGAAATGGAGGGGACATGTGGAAGGAGACGTCATTGGGGACACAGCTGGAGCTGCACTACTGAAAAGAGGCACTCCATGCCAGAGGAGGTACCTCTGAGGGACTGCAGACTGCAGGTGACCCATGTCAGGGCAGAGACACTGCCAAGGGACTACAGCTGTGAGTGATCCATGCATATCAATGGGGAAGAAGCAAGGACCATCAGAAAGAAAACACTGCTCACTGACCCCCCTCCCTCGTGGCCAGAATGATTGGAGAGGGACAATTGCAATGTGAGATGAAAACAAGGGAGGCTGAGATGTGGAAGGGGGAGGGCTCAAGTTGAGCACAAAGAGGAAAGGTATTTCCTTGTTAGTTTATGTTTTCTTTTTCTTCTCAATGCGTGAATCAGTAATTAAAATTTTATATTAATTAACAATAAATTAAATTAAGAGGAAGAGGAGATGCAGAAGAGGAGATGAATCTGGAAACAGCTACAAGACTGTGGTTGAAGAGACACCTAAACTGGTAGAAAGACAAACTGTTTTGTCCAGTAACAGGAAACTTTCCAGTTTGCTGTAGGTCCTGAATATTCTTTACCAGTGAGGCAAGACCAGGAACCAGAAATAGGTGGAACCAGAAATTAGCAGTGTGAACCATTAGGTGGCAGAATCATTCAAGATGATGTGGCGGAACATGAGGCTGAAGAAAATAATGCGCTACAGACCTACATGGGTTGGTGATGTGGTAACACCTGACTTGTCCAACACTGGACAGATGAACCAAGCAGGGGAAACAGGCAAATACGAGACAGAGATGTTGTCTTTCCCCCGTTCAAATGTAACCTTGCCTAATGTTTTCTCTTATCTAAGGTAACTTGAAATCTGTCCTTGCTTTCAGTGAGTGACCATTGACCTCTAGAGGTCACATGCCACCTAAATCATTCTACGGTTATACAGTTTTTAAAATTTTTTTAGCTGACACCATATTCAACAATTATTATATGATATTTATATAGGTAGTCACGTGATTTAGCCTGCATCCAGAAAAAAGTTCAAGTACTGAAGTACTTCAAGTCCACTGTTCATCTCTTCTTAGCTCTCTCTGAGTGACCATAAAAAAAGATCTGTATGATAGATGTCTGTGGAGAATGCTTCCAACATGAAAATTATTTTAATCCAAAGGAAGGGTCTGAATCCAAACCTCTAAATTGAAGACAAGGTATATCAGGGTTCTCATCGGGAAACCATCTGTACAAGAAAAAAACTCCTAATGTTTCTCCAGAATGATATGCCTTTCAAATTGCATCAGTTTTCTCAGGCTAGATGTCCACTAGTACACCACTGTGCTCAACTTTCCAAAACCTCTCTGGCCTTTAAGGCCAGAGATATTAATATTAAGAGTTTAATATTTGGCAAAAGAAAAGAAGTATTAATTTGTTTGTCTCAGGTGCTAGCTACACATGTTCCTGCTCCACTGCCTACAATATCACTTCTCTTTGAGATTTTGGAGCCATGACTAGAGAACTTTCTTTTCTAGTCCTTTTGTTTCTACACTAACAAGTATTCTGTATTTTAATACATTTCATTGCTAACTTGATTTCCTGCGTGAATAGGAAATCTCTTCAGGAGACCTGGACCCAAGGTCAAGTGTCAAATACTCGCTTGTGTCACTCTGCTTATGGTTAGATGCAGCTAGAGCAGACTGGCCACACCACACAGTGAGTTCTTGTTCCTGGTTTCCTACGCACACCAGGTAGTCTTAATGTGCTGGTTTTATTCTGGTGTGGTTTTCTAGTTCTAAGCTATTTAAATAATGTCTTTGCACACCACAAGCGTGGTGTTTTTATCATATAATAGTAAAATTTTGTTTTATGGGTACTGGAATGTGATACAAATGCATGTGCAGGTGTCCAAGGGTACAAAGCCTACAAGGCTTACATTGGAGGAATGTATAAGATTAAAGACAAACCCTGGCTCATCTAACCATTGCTTTTGGGAGTTATTGTGCGCCCCTATTGCCTTTGAAATTGTCTGTTGGAGCTGCACAAAGCAGAAATAGAGAAAAGTAGCACTGTGGATGGTCCAGGAAGACAGCATTCAAGCTTGCTTCCTAATCTTCTTTCTTTAGTAGCACAGATGATGTAGTACTTACTATTTTATATTGCTCGCTTCTGTAATTTTAAACAATGAAGATTTGTTGCTTAGAAGTTAGGTAACTAACAGGTGTTGTGTTTGTAAGTGTGTGGAATTGTAACTAGTATAAACTGTGTATCCTAGAAGCATTGTTAGATTCTAGTGAAGATTAACCTTGGAAACAAGAACCATAAACAAACAGATGTGGCTCGGAGACAAACCTTGACCTTATAAGGAAAGAAAGAAACAAGCTCACGAAGAGTTCACTACCCTGCCGACCACCAGAGACCACCCGAGACCCTCAAGAAGACCTAAAGGCTTTAGTGCGCATGTGTCTAGGATGATGTAATATTATAATTAGTTCCCGGAAATTTAATGAATATGTAAAAGAGAAACTTAAAATATGTACGAGAAGCATGGATATAAACAGAAAGGTAATTAGACCAGGTATGCTTGATTTGTGGCAAGTCCACCAAGCACCCAGGCCTGTATAAAACAATATCTCTCCTGAGCATGTGGAATTGGTTACTTGCAGCCGGGCACGAATCCGCTTTTCGGACAACACAGATGTACTGAATTTTTTTCTCAAAACTCATGTTAAAACTGGATCTTTGAAGGAAAATCTCTGAGGCAAAGGATTCATTAACATATTCTGAAAGCGTTTCATACCAACTATTTTCAGAAGCAATTTTATTGATTAAGTCTAGATGTAAAAAGTGGAAGTCTGACGCAATCTCACTTGTATATGACTTTAGTGTTTATTACATCAGAATCCATTTTCTATGAATATCTTCTAACACTTTACAGTAAAAAAATTGTGTTAATCTAAACTTTGAAATACTATAATAAGAAACTTGTTTTCTGTGGTATTCAAGATGTCAATAAAGCAGACATCTGCAGATATGCATTATATATTGCTAGCAGTAATTTATTAGGCTTCAGGGATCCAAGATACCAACACCTATGTTTCAGCGCTTTCAAATTTCCTAGGCTTTTCCACTAAGCCTGCAGACTACTTTATGCCTGGTTTTATCCATTAGTTGCTGCTGATGTTCTGTTATGAAGACTAGACCATAATATCTGGCTAACAATGAAAATTACTCTTTACTCCTCCTGCTAAATCTCCCTAAGCATCTGATTCTTTACTTATATTGCTTTATTCCTCCTCTTGAAATATCTTATTCCATTCTTGGAGGACTTTGTGTTCTTCTTGGAGAGCTTTCTCCTGACTTTGTAGGGCATTCATTTTTCTCGTCTTGAAGGGCCCTGTTCTCCTCTTGGAGAGCAAGTTTCTCCTCACTGAGGGCATTTTTTTCCTCACAAGGTGCTTTCTCCTCTTCCTGAATGGCTTTGTTGTCCTTTTGAAGAGCCTTAAGCTGCTCCTTGAAGGCCTTGTTTTCCTCCCATAAAGCTAAAATCTTTTGCTGAAGAGCTTTTTCCTCCATTGCAAATGCTCTTTCTTGTCCTTCGAGAGCCTTAATCTCTTCTCTGAGGGCTTTATTTTGTTGTTGGAGGGCCTTTTGCTGTTTCTCCAAGTGCTTTGTTTCCTCTGAAGAGTCCCTATGCCTCTCTTGAAGGATTTTATTCTCTTCCCAAAGGACTTTGTTCTGTCTTTGGATACTTTGATTCTCCTGATAATAGGCTTTGTTCTCCATACAAAAAGCTCTATTCTTTTGCTGAAGGTTTTGATTCTCTTCTCGAAGGGCTCGAATCTCCTTACAGAGTGTTTGGTTAAATTGTGTCATGTGGGAGGAGATGGCAGAAGGGGCAGCAGAGATAAATTGCTGATCTTCCTTAAAGAGTCTTCATCCTTAGAGTCAGTCATTTTGTCACTCGGCAGCACCACTCAGGGGCTGTGCTATGGTCCAGATGGGTGATTTCACCTTTCATACTCAGTAGTCATGGAACTGAGAACAGAGGTTAAGTGTCCATAAGACCGTACTCAGAATAACGTATAAATAAGTAAATAAATAAATATAGCACTACACATGAAATAAAAATAATGGTAAACCAATACTGATATTTGACAGGTATTATATATTTTTGCATGTGCTTAAGTATATACAGCAAATTAAATTTCACAAGGCTGAGTCAATTATAACGAAGAATAAAGAAGGGATATTTCCTTTTAGAGTCTTAAAACTTTGACAATCTTTCTCATGGACATACAGCAAGGTGATATGCATTCATAGAGGAATCCAGATTGTTAATATATATCTTTATTGTAATTTTCTTTGCTTTTCTTTTTTACCTTTTTTCATTCTTTTTTTTTTTTTTTACTGTGTGATTAAGTATTTATTTTTCTAGAACTATTACCTTACTGTCGTGGTTTAACCTGGCAGGC